AAGCTATGCTTCCGATGCGGCAGCTGCAATCACCGTAAGAAAGATTGCAATGGGGATGCCCGATGTTTCGCTTGCGGAACAGAAGGTGCCAAACGTGGAGCAGGTAGCGGTTATGTGCAGGTACGTCTGCCCAGAATTTAGGAAGGCACTACGAGAGGCCAAAAGTAAGGTGCTTAAAAGGCGCCGATAGAGTTTAAGACGACAAAAACAGGTTGACTATTGCAAATCTAAGCTACGCTGACTTACTAAGTCATCAGCAAGGAGAAGCAACGAGAATCCATGTTCCCGCACAACAGCAGATGGCCAGACGAAATTTGAGGCGATACTCGTTGGACAGGTTTTAGTATTAGTTATTACCACATGATGCTTTTTCACATTATGAAATGCCGCTAAATTGACGCTTTTTTTTTGAATACGTCAATTAAGAAAGGTTTTAGTTTTAACTTTGGCCACTTCATTTATTGTTGTACAGGCTCTTCAGTGCTAGTAGTCGCGTCCGAGGTCGCGTCCCATCTTGAATAAAGAGAAGGTAACATCACGGCGGCGATGACACTCCAATGGAAGGCCACATCAATGGTCAACACTCCATGGCCCCTGCTTGAAGTTTAAATTGGATCCCGAGCCGGGTGTCCCAGGAGATAGATCTTGCCAGTTTTGTGGGTATTTATTCTGTATTGCTAAAAACTCGACCTGGTTCCAAGAAATATGACCTACTCAAGAGCATAAGTGTTCATAACTTCGTAGCGTGATACTTAAAAATTGTAAATAAGAAGTTCCAGCTTTGCCTTGAATTATTACATAAAGTGAGAATAAATGATGGGACATTTATGTCAAGTAATTTTTAAACATACAAGGCTAAAAACAATGTATTTAAAGAAGGTAAAGTATTTCCCTAAATATTTTATTGATCCATACATATCAATGTAACACAACTAAATTGTGACCAATAAAAGTAATAACAGTGATTTCCTTACAATTAGTAGTTTTCCTCACAATCGGTTGTTTGTCATCTGCACCAAAACACATTTTAAAAATTATTTTTAAACGAAAGTGCCATCATCCCAGGGCTGTTTTGCGGCCTGAGGGACCGTAAGGTAGCCCCAGATGGATTGCACTTGTGTGTCAAACACTGTTTTTCCTGCCGTAGGGCACACCTGACCCTCAAAACGCCTGAGTTAGAAAAAAATACATTTCAGAAAAGTTATATACCTACTTTACCTAGTCTTTTTTGTATATTAATGTGTTTACATTTAATTTCAGATTGCGTTTTCAATTTTATTCTTGAATATTTTAAGATCTTGCAATAAATTGAAATGAATATGTATTCCTTCGCCCACATGCGTAAGTGCCCCCTCCTCTCATCTCTTCGAGAGCGAGTCGGCCTCCGAAATTCTCCGTTATTTTCCTTCTTCTTTTTCTCCTATGCCCTTTGTCTTCTAGGGGAGTGGTCCTCACGGACCTGTCCCATGCGGGGAGGTTAGTTTTTAGTCGGTAGGCACACCGGGTGAATCCGACACTACCACCGGATTAGCTGGGGTGTCTATGAAGATTTTCCCCTCCCCGCTCTATCTAACAAAAAAAAAAAAAAAAAAAAAAAAGAATATGTATTCCTAAAGTTAGAATGAAACATTCCATAAGTTTTTTCATTTATTTAGGGATATGTAAAAGAATCAGCTTACAATAATTGAAAAATATTGTAAAATAGAATGTAAGAAACTATCATTTCCGCCCGCGGGTGGTTTTGGGAGGCTGGTACTTCCTCGGGCAAAAAAGCAGTTTTCCGATACTCGTTCGAAAAGTCTCCTTTACGAACCTCGTTACGGACCTCGCCTTCGGCTCGGGCCGCAAACCTCTCGGTTCGAAAACAAAGACTTTTCAAACTCGTAGGAAAACTACTATTATTGTTAAGCGACGTAAAATTCGAAAATTTCATTAAAAGAATGGTTTTAATATATACCATTTATATAGCTTTTTAGACTCCATTGTTTAAGGTGATTCAAATTTAAGTTAAAAGTCTAAAAAAATTTTAAAAACTTAATGAAGTTTTTTATAAACTTAAAATCTACTACCACACGAAATTTTAGATGGGGTTTTCGAACATATTACTGGAAAAAGCTGTGTTGAAATCGACTTTTTAACACAATATCTTTTAGTAAGCCATGCATGTCTGTCATATAATATACATCAAACTAACCAAAGGTTTATAACTACAAACGGGCTGCTATAATCACACTAACATGTGTGTGTTGGCTCAGTTGGTTAGCGTGCTAGCCATTGATACAACACAGCTCAAGTGGTCGTGAGTTCGATTCCCGGTTGGGGCAATCAGATTTTTTCTGATGGTCTTGTCCGGAATCCAATTCACGACACCAACTTAGGATTAAGAGTTAGTTTTAAGATCCAACCCACAGTTTTCAACCCAATGTAATTTAATGATGTAATATTCTGTTAAGAGTTTTACAGGACTTAATAAAGCTTTCAAATAAATGCACTACGCAAGTAAGTATTTATTTAAAAAATAAAATAAAAAAAATAACCTGTGTGTTCCAATGAATTTTTTAATATAAATAATAGATAATAGAAGAAATAAATAATGGATTTAAAGTACGTACTCTACACTTAGTTTTGTATATTAGTTACAATTCTTTGGTAAACATTGCATCTTTAGTAATCAGTTCTTTGGTAAACATTGCACTTTTAGTAATTACAATTATCAATCGAAAGACAATGCAAACATATTTATTGTCCTCTAATACAATCATTCAATATTTCAATATTTAACTGTTCTACTACATCGTCATAAATGTGTAATATTACAATATTGTTTAAAATGTTTTGAAGCATTGTAAAATGTATATAATTATTCAATCGTTTCAGTAAAGAAAAACTTGGTTCATTTTTGCATGATATACGGTGAATAGTTTGTAAAAAGCGAACAAATCTTACGAACAGAATACAAAAATATTATATTCCTTAATACCATATATAATAATAAATGTATGAAAATACATTGTCGACCTTGGTGAATTTTATAATAAATTGGGTTATAGCTTACGAAGTCTCTTGCCGTCATCCAGGAAAATTTCCCACATGGCATTATGGCCACGACCTCAACCACCGCCTCTGGTAATCATATTTACACAAATTTTTGCGGTAGCTTGAGAGTTCTCTGTCAAGTTTGGACCAATGTTGGTTACCTGCATTGGCCCAAGCGGTGTGCCTTGGAAGCTTGATGTTTTTTCCATTTAGGATATTGATTGTGCAATGCATAAATATTGAACTGTTTACTTTTACATGAGCTCAAATTCTTTATAAGATCAACTGCGTTATCGCTTGGATGTTGGTGAAACATTTTACATCAAAATGTTATTAATAATAATTGAAAACTTTTTCTTTGTTTTACAATTTATTTCTCACCCTAAGTAAGGCTGACAGCTGTTTTGGCAGTTACGCCATTGTCAAAGGTTCAACATACACTGAAAATATATAAACGGTATACTCGACGATGTATACATATGAAATTGATAAAGCGAGTATTGATAAACGATTTCCAGCGAACGGTAAGATGAAGAATGTACATGTAAGAAGCGTCGAACTAAATATAGTTATTAACGGTATTATCTATTATCAGTGACAGAGAAAAATTGAGTTGATCGTTAATTACGAACTTGTTTTGTCTCTTACAATCTCTATTGTTTCTAATAAATTTAACTTTAGGCTTTTAGGTGGATTATGCAATAATTTTATATCATTTAAATCTGGAAAATGTGCACGTGAGATACAATGTTCACTGAAATCAGTCGAGCCCTGATTATTGTTAATAGATTTAACATGTTCATCAATACGTGTAGACGGAGCGCTCCGTTTTTCCTATATGTATATATATCGTCACAATCTAAGCATTTAATTAAATATAGGTACCTCACTTTTCTCCAAATTGACAGATCTTTCTTTATTGTTAACTAAAATGGGTTTGGTACAGTGTTTATTGACTAATATTGAATTTATTTTAGGTTTTTTTTTTTTTTGATCTATCAATTTTCTCTCAAACTACGGAAACATAATTTAATATAAGGAATTTTTTGTTTTCTGGCAATATTGGATAAAAGTGTTTAAGTACGAGATTTTTTGCTTGTTTTTTTATTTAGACTATCTAAAATAGTTTCATCGTATCCATTATTTGTTGTTAGGCATTTTAATAATTTGATATCTCTGTCGTAGTGATCTTTTCGTAAAGGTATCGACAATAATCTATGTATAAAATAATAAAAAGCAATCATTTTAACTTTGACGGACTGTTTTAAATCATACGGCACCAAAGTGTCAATAAATGTTTGTTTTCTATAAATTTCATAGACTATTTCATCACTGCTTCATATTATTTTTATTACTGTTTTCTATTTCAATCGTAAAGTTAATATTGGGTACAAGAGTACTTGTCCATTTAAGAAACCTCGAATTCTTTGTTATCGTCTCCCTTAAGGTTTAGCTGCTGGGTCTACTCCTGGAGGGTTCCGACTTTTGCCATTCTAAGGACGTTGAACGTTAGGTTAATTGATTGTGTCAAGCTGCATCAAAGCACGAATCCCTGTAATGCGAGAGCTTTTAACCATATAACTAAGGATACAATGAGATTAAAATCAATTATAAATATTTATGTACATTTTTTCATTTTTTCATTTTGTAAATAATTTTCTTCACAGACTCTGTCACACACGCTTTTGTCTTAAGGTGTTATGGGGTTGAAGAGCTTAGATTATACCGCGGTAACTGGGTTTTAATAGCTGAAGATTTGAACTACGCGCCAACTTCGGGACAACATGCCACGTTCGGGAGCAGTGGAGAGATACTGATTTCATTTCTAGTGTAATAGTGTGTGTATAAAATATACACATACTTAGATACTTACATGCGTTAGACATCTACGTGCACGGACTACTCGGAATAGTCGGAATGAAAGTAAAAAAGTGGGAGACGCACAGCAGAGGTATACTGCCGCCAGAGCGAGCATCATCAGAATTTATATAGTCTTACTTGTAGTAGGTAGTACTTTTGATAAGCATATAACTAGTGAACTATTTTTAATTTACCTAGTCGTTGTGCTCGATAGATTCGCAAAATTGTCTCTCTGATTTTCGCCTGCATTCCAATCAACTTTTTTTGCCATTTCACGTCAACATGCTCCGTAAGGTTAGTGCTTGAGTGTGTGTGGTCATACATTTTACGTTTAAGTATACCTATACATTGATTGTAAGAACAACTTGTTCCAGACGTTGTTCATCAAGTAGGAAAATATGTGATTAAGAAGTACCTCTACGTAACTAATTTTTTTTTTTCTTTTTTTTTCTCTTTTTCATAGCCGATTCATGCTTACACAACCAATAGAACTAAGTGCCTTGGGAGATACTTATTGACCTTGTATTTTTGTTTTGTTACATTAGATTGTCTGCACGCCACTACTCCAAACTGCCAAAAAATCCTTCTCGACGACTGTAGCTTCCAAAAATATTAACTTTGGTACGTATACGTGTATATGTTGATTATTAACTTGGAATTTTATCTATACCGATAAAAATAATGATGACGTTTTTAAGCATAGAAAATGAAATCACGAAAACAGATCTTATACTTTTTTGATCGTAATATCGTATGCTTTATGTAATTGCGTGATTAATATTCGCAAAGTTGAGATGAAATTAAATTTTTTTTTCCATACTTCATAGATTACTGTTGTTTGTTTGGGTTTTCGAGACTTTCATTAAAAAAAACTATTTTATCAATGAAATTTTTTTAACAAAGAAAATTTTTATTGGTCTGCGTCATAAAGAAGCTTTTCGGTATTGGTAGACAACACGATAATAGAGCATACTTTCGTGTAAGATAAGTATGTACTGAAATAAACATTAGAAAAATTAATTTCTAATGTTCTTGACAACAGCCACCGCCTTTTATTTACTTTTTACGTGTGCATTAGCCTATGTGTGTGTACAACATTCACTGGGCTCCTTCTGGTGTGGAACGAAAATGTATATATTACCAGAAGAGAGTTTAGTCACTGACAGAGTATGCTGGAGCGATTCCACGAAAAGGATCTATTATGAATTAATTGAAATTAGATTCGTTGTGCGCTATCGAAATTTTTTTTATTTTTTTTTATTATTTAACTTAAATGCGGGGTTAGTACAAGTAGAACGAGAAACTGGTATAGCATCACCAAGTTAAATATGTGAATACACTAGTAAGGGTTTGCTCCTCTGCAAGTTTTATGCGCGTAAGTACCCTACGATGATTGAATATACTTACGATATGGATGATATTCGCGACGAAATCTGAAATATGAGCAACGTGTTTACAACATATTGCACATATTTATTTATTCCCTAATATATTGCAAAAACTTGGTATAAATAAAAGCTCACCATCCTACATTAAACATACAGTGGAGGCCGTTTAATTCGTTGAGCGGGAAATTCAAACATTTAATTTCCATTTAATCATATAACCTCTTTTGTTGGTAAATTTTATACTTCCCGCTCAACGAATTAAACGGTCTCCACTGTACTATGTATAATGGCTATATTGTGCAGAATTAATTGTTCCTCGTGATGGTACACTTATAATACAGTACATTTTTTCATTTTAGGTAATATTTGCGTAAATTTTTTCTTTTCTCAAAACCTTTAGGTATCCTTTTCGTGAACAAGTTACTTGCGAAAAGAAGTAGTATTGTATATACCAATATGTGAGTTTTATTATTTTTTTTGTTGCAAGATATACCGTATCGATATAGTTGTGTGATAGTGTAACCGCTGTACCTGTAGATAATTGCTAGGTAGATATCGAATAATCGACTTTGAACCTCTGCTTCAACCGATCACACATTGATAAAAAAGGCTGTAAGTGCATCATGATATAATTATTAAGATAGGAAAACTTTCTTGGAAAAAACGCTTAAAAGATAGCAGTAAAAGACTATCTTTTTCAAAACTATCATACGATGTGATAAGGAATTTCATTCACTTCAAGAAAAAAACAATCTTTTTCGTAGAAGACTCCGAGAACTACTGACGCGTCGTGTACTTATATCGGTAATAGTAATACTCTTGCGTGCAGTGAGTACCTAAAATTTTGGGCAGATGGTGCTACAATGTTTATTTGGTTCAAACACACCGAGCTCTGATAGATGCGAATGTGGCAAAGATTCCAATAACTTAGAACATATTTTTTGTCAATGTGATATATTCAAAAATGAAAGGACCGAAATGTTAAATAAGTCTTATAAAATCGGTAAAAATGGTCCATTTTCCATAAAATATTTACTAGCCAATTTAGACGAACAAACAATCCCAATACTAGCCAATTTTATCGATAGTATAGATAAAAATATTTAATTTAATGCCCTCCTAAATAGCAAATAAGACATTTTGCTAAGCTTTATAAATTATTTTCTATACCAATAATATAATTATCATGATTCAATCGATATCTTATCTCATATAACTGGATATGTATATATACTAGTGTATAATACCTAAATGGATCTCATTCTGTAATATTCTCATGTATACTACCTGCTCCATTTCGATAGAAATGGCTATGTAACTATAAGTTCAAAAGCCAATAAAAAAACTATTCAATCAATCAATTCAAACACACCGAGCAGCTTCGGTAACACAGTAATTTCGGTTGCTATGTGGTTCTTGTAGTTCCAGGGCTTGTAGTGTACCGTTATACTGTATAATCCGTACCTATACCTACACTGAGAAAATATTACAGTAGCGTCTGCTGCGAGGTACTTAAGTATCGCTGATACAACTACACAGATTATAGTCAAACTGGCGATACCGCTGTGGTAGAGTCTACAATTTTTTTGGTAGTGCTGACCACAATCTATTGCAGTTAACTGAATTAATTAGCTGAAATAACTATTATATAATAAAAACAACTAAGGTTTTAAAAACTAATTAATTTTTGGAGTAAATATTAAAATAATAATATAATGCTAGCAAAAAATGAGAGTTTATTACAATAGATATGTGTACTCAATTGAGGTAGTAAACACAAGATATGAGTTTGGAAATGGTTTTTATTTTGAACAATGGAAAAATTATGTTTACAGTTGGTACTTAGTACATACGTGATATGAATTAATTCTTTTAATTAAAGTACATGCATGTACATCTGGTGAATCTTAACATTTTTTTAAAATTACCTTGTATAAGGCATCGTTCGCATTTACCTTATTTTCTGGTCGAAACAACGACAAATCATTGTGGCAGCCCTTACCACAGATCTAGTAGTAAACGCTACTGTAAAATTTTCTCAGTGTACTCTTCCCGATTTGGAAATGAGTACATGAGTGACGCTGGTGTCTGAATTCAAATTTCGAATCCCATTATACAGACTTACTTGACTCGCATCCCTGAGAAACTAATAACTTATGGGCATGTATAGTAATACATCATATTTAAAATAAGATATTTCCATTTTTGTGTAAATGCTTGATACAAAAGTTAAATGTGAGGTGGTTTTTAACTGTCCCATCGATGATACCGTAAACATGAGCCATGAACCTCGAAACAGCTTAAAAGGTGTATTTTATTTAAATCCGCTACTATTGTATTTAAAATGTTATCCCTAAAGTCAATTAAAATTTTCAATTTTGTACTTTTTCTTTCTTGAAATAATTTTCAGTTTTCCGCTTTAATTTACCCCTTCTTTTGTCACAACATTTGCCATAACATTTACATTACATGTGTTATTATTTTACTTGAACAATAAAACGCAATTTTGTATTCTTACTCATCTAATCGTCGCATATCTTATTTTTGTTTTTATCTACTAATACGATTAAACTTTATATTTACTGTCTCGTCTTGATTTGTTAGTTTCTGTCTCATTAAGAAATTACATTGTCTCAGCTCTGTTCCTATACTCCTTACTTGACCTTAAAATTTTTTAAAAAAACTTTGCCATAACAGCACGTTTTAGCTTTTAGTTTCCCCCTTAACATTTTCATTTTACCGCAAAATCGTTTCACTCTTTTCTTCTGCACTCGGCACTGATTCATTGATTTCCTGTACCCACTTACTTCAAGTTAGTTTTTTCTTTTACTGTACATGAATTACACATACCATATTTGTATCATTTATACCTTTACCTACATTTTTATACTTCATCCTTGCCCTTCTATTGTGTGGATTGTCCACTTTTCTCCACTTTGATTGGATCTTCTTTTTAATGCTTACGAAAGCAATTGTTTTTTTATCTTTTTTTCGATTATTACTAACCACACTGAATTTCTTTCATACATTTCGCTTTTTATTATTCTATCCCCTACTCTCAGACACGCAGTGTATAACTTAGGGCTGCACAAGATACCAAGAGTAATCATGACATTATCTTGTCTTATCTTTTGAAGACGATAATCGAGACAAAACACAATTTAGAGCTTCAAGGCAATATCAAGAATATTTTCCAGAATATTTATCAGGGCAATTTTCTTGCGTAACTTTATATAGCTGAAAATAATTAAATATTAAATAGTTATATAGACATAAAATAAACGTATACATCTCATTCATAAAGGAAATATAAGAAATATAAAAAAATATTATAATCATAGATTTATTACATGAATTTAGTAAATAAATACATTTAGTCAGTAGCTTACCGAATTATTACAGTTAATTGATCTACATTACAACTTTAAATAAATAAATAAGTGATTGTTGAGTACCATTATAATGTAACATAAGAAATATATAACGTGGGAGTAAATTACTAATCAATAATTTGAAAATATAATACTGTACACATAAACTTTGCAAATATCCAACTTTGACTTGTTGTCTCTGTAACCCAACACCCAACACTGCCCTCGTCTACAAGTTCACATCGCAATACATGTACATGGAGCTACATTATATCACCGGTTGTATTTATTTACAAAACTGACTTCTTATCAGTGAGAGAATTTTTTCTTCTTGATTCGTTGAGTAGTCGATCATTGAGGGTTCTATAATTTTACATTTTTGCAAAAATTTAGAAAATCTCGTTTTTTCGAAAATTGAGTTCAAATATTTCAACATTTTAGTGTTGGTGTTTTCATACGATTTAAGTACTCGACAGGAAAACTTGCAAGTTCTGCGAAAAAATCTGCATTACAACTTTTCGGAGTTCCTGCAAAATTTCCTGCACAATTTTCTTACGAGTAATACTTACTGTGAAAAATAAAAAAAATAAACAAATTATTGACAATACTACATAATACGGAGTAGTTTGAATTAAGTTTGTTTTTAGTGAAATTATATTTAAAATTATTTAAAAAAAATATATATAAATAAACACACAAATTTTTTATAGAATGTTGAAAGTGTGATACAGTACCGTCAACCTACTCAATTGATTTAATTTTTAATTGTGTTATGTACACGGTAGTTTTTTTGATACTTGAATAATCGACGTAAAAAATTGGATTCATCAGTTGATGCATGGTTTGAAAATAAAAAAATAAGATTCTTTGAACAAAAATAAGCTAACGCAACTGAAAAGACTCCGAAATGTATACATGTATAGACACATTCAAGAATTATTCATTTGGATCAAATTTTCATGATATTGTATTTTTTTTTTTTAATTATTCGACAGCCAAAGTTCTCCCTAAGTTATATTGTAATAATGTAGTTCTATTTTAATTCATGATTCAATTACATTTCAATAATATCTGTTACTTTCTCTTATAACTAAATAGTGTTAAACTACAATTTACGAAGTTGAAAAAAGGTGCAAATTGTCTTTCTTTCTTTATGAATTATGAATTATCTTTGAACGTAAACGATTGCATGTATACCGAAGATGTCGAGTTTGCTCCCATATTAAGAAAATACACATATCTGTATCAAATTAAGGCCTAATTAAGAATTGCTCGAGTTAGTCATAACCTTGAATGACCTATACAATAATGTTTAGTTCGTACGCTACTTAAAAGATATTATCTCATCTTTTTTGGTGTTCTTAATACCTATGTCAATAACTTGAACTCACTTCAATTAATTGTATATTCTATGTAGAGCACACAATTAAACACAAAATATCTACGTTTACCAAGTGTCACTGCATCATCACTGAGCAACCTAATTTTTTGAATCCAAGAAAATTTCTTTACCCTCATTCCGTTAAATATTTTCTTTTAATTAAAAATAATTTAGTCGATCCAAAAAGCATTTCATGCAATTAAATAAGAAATTCATTAATGAAAAAAAAAAGAAAATTTTAANTTGAGACTCATATTTTTTCAATTACAAGAAAATACTTAACGGAATAAGGGTAAAGAAATTTTCATTGATTCAAAGAATTGGGTTACTCTGCGTGATAATTGATAATTGATTTTAAGATAGCACTTTTTTATTTACTGCGTGTGACACAATTTTACTGCAGCAGTTATCTAAGCTATTAAAATAAGTGGCCTATACTCACCTTCAATAAAAAACGTTGATAAAGTAAAAATTATTGATAAATTAATTTATGAATTTAATTGTTGTAAAAATCATTAGTAAAGCTTTCACAATGTGCTTACATTTTACTCTTATTTTAAGTGTAGCTATTATTAACGATTGTTGCCATCATGTAAAAAGATGATTTTTTTTGTTTTAGAATTAAATGATACTCAGAAAAATTTCCAAGAGCTTGCTACGAAATTTACAAGAGACGAAATCATCCCAGTGGCTGCAGAATATGACCGAACTGGAAATTACCCTTGGGAAATTGTTAAGAAAGCTTGGGAACTAGGTCTTTTAAATCACCATATACCTCAGAGCATTGGTAAATGCGTATCTTATTATTTGCTTGATAATTATTATTCGAAATGTAAACCAAAAAATAACTGTTTAACCATCAATGAAGTATTTAATTGTTCTATCGAAATAAAAATATTTTTGCATTATATTTGTACCATAATAAATCAATAAGTTACGATGCTAGACTAATTATCTTGTTTTTTTTTTTCTTTTTTTTTTCTTTTTACAGGTGGACTGGGATTGAATCTTTTTGATGGTTGTATTGTTAGCGAAGCTATTGCTTACGGATGTACAGGTATCAAAACTGCGTTGGAGGCATCTGGACTAGCGGTATGTATATGCATGAATATACAACTGACAATGTAATTTTTGGCTTTTCAAGAAAATTTATTTAATATTGAATGATTTTTGTTTTTGAAGCAAACACCGGTTATTTTGGCTGGAAACAAGGAGCAACAGAAAAAGTACCTTGGCAGGTTACTCGAAGAACCTATCGTCGCTGTTAGCATGATTTATTGTTTATATACTTTAGCCTTTAAGCTTAAGCCAAGTGGAAATTCTTACAGATTTTTTCCACTTCATTTTTTCAGGCATACTGCGTGACAGAACCAGGTGCGGGATCGGATGTTGCCGGTGTCAAAACCAAGGCCGAAAAAAAAGGCAAGGAATGGATACTCAATGGCACCAAAATGTGGATCACTAATGGAGGCGTTGCAAGTTGGTACTTTGTCTTAGCTAGAACAAATCCTGACCCAAAAGCTCCAGCCAGTAAAGCTTTTACAGCATTTATTGTTGAACGGGAGTGGGAAGGGGTGCAGCCTGGGCGCAAGGTGTGTAAACAAGGATTTCAATTATTTTTTCACGATTCTAGTTCATTATTTAATAAGCAATTAAAGATTTGTACTAAGGAAAAGTAAAATCTAAATTATACAAGCAAATAAATTAATTAAGGAGGTACCACACCAACTACGTTAGTCACGGTGAGTGTGCGAGAAAGGGATTTGATTTTTTGACACTTTCAGGTTAGAGGCGTGTGATCATGTCCTATCTTCTAACATTGTAGTTTTGTTGGCACTTCAGAATTGTTATTTATTTCCCTTCAAAAAAGCAACCAATGAATTTTTTTTTTTTTAGAGATATTTTAAACAGGTTTTATAGCACTTATTGTTACAATTTTATTGGAATTTATCCATTAATTCCATCAGAATTTTAACAGAAAAAAGAAATTTTTACAATTTTTCATAAAAGGCCATGTTGAAATTGGAAAAATTGTTTTTTTTTTTTTTTTTTTTTTTTTTTTTCATGGGTTACCGCGACAGCCTACTGGCCTAGTCACCGGGACCACCCACTCATCACGTACGTGTGGGGATGTATTGCCGCACCCATGAAAAATTTTTTTATTAATTTCTTGGTCCAAAACGAATCAGAGGTCTTGGAACTTTACTTATTACTATATATACTCTATTTATTATCTTATCGGCCAATGGACTAGATCTCAACAAAATCCTTCCATTAATTCCTTGTGATACGGTATCTGCTTAAAATAAATTTTTTCTTCATTTTTGAAGTTTGAATGTCGTTGAAAAAAAAATTTTTGTTTTGTCCAACTAGATTAGTAATTTTCTACATACTTTTTGGGTCGTTAAATCAGAAATTGTAATCAGAACTACTAACTCAAGTCTTCGGTGTTATTTGAATCCATATAATTTCCAATGGCTCTGTCGAAATGCAAGACCTGGCATGTGAACTCTGACAAAAAAATAAATAATTAGTCTAGTCCAAAAAAATAAAAAATTTTTTGTAGAGCTTGTGATACACTATTCAAGAAATGTTTTTTTCGTAATCATTATGTGATACAAGTATTTCCTTTTAAAACTACACTTATCTGGCTTTACTTTTTCACAACAACATATGATACTATTCATAAAAATAAACTGTTTCACGTTGACATTTTATACAAAATCTTCTTAAACAATAATGTAATCACTTATGTTTAACTGCTTCTAGGAAATAAACATGGGTCAAAGAGCTTCCGATACTCGTATGGTAACATTCGAAGACGTCAGAATCCCAGAAGAAAATGTATTAATTGGAGAAGGGGCTGGATTTAAAGTCGCTATGGGAACATTCGATAAAACCAGACCTGCGGTAATATTATTTAAGTATAAATACTCTAAAAGACTCATTTTTATATTAATGAAGAATGAAAACCTTTTACGAGCGTATTAAATAGTCATTGCAATCATCATTAATCTAACATCAATACAGTTATGTGGTAATATTGTTTTGACATTGTGATAAATTGCATAACCACTGCGGTATAATATTTACGGTAGCTCCTTGCGAGCATAACGATTGTAATATGTTTAGATTCAGTACTACACGTGAGCATCAACAGTTAGCAATAATTATAAAGATAAAAATGATATTCCATAACTTTATTTTTTTGCAAAGTAAAAATTAAAGTTGTGAAGACTTATGGAAGCATATCCAATGAAAATTTAACCCTTTATTTTACTCTTTTACGAGCCCTACTAGATCAACTCATACGTCCACGAAAGATATATACGTACAAGCATCATGAGTACAGTGGACGAGCTTTTTCTCACGCCTTATGGCTCCTTTCGGCCTAATTATATTACTGTACAAAGGGGTTAACTAGTATCATTGCTTTCCCATGCCCTTATCCCATTTTACAACTAAATGTTCTCATTTGATGGCCTGTGGCGTTAATGTTCAACTTTTTGGCTCTTCATAAAAGACGACAATAATTTCAGACGACATAGAGAAAATTGTTGTTTCGCTACCGATACGCATACACCGTAAACAAGTTAAGCATTTTGATCAGAATGTCAAGATTGTCGAGAAATAGCATTCACCCTAAGTGTAGTTGTGAAGTGTTTCGGTCGTTCCACAACGAGTCATTTTCCATCGTTTTTGCGTGTAATAAAAATCATCCAATGTACCTACTGATTTAAGGTCGCTTGTGGAGCTGTTGGCTTAGCCCAAAGAGCCTTGGACGAAGCAACCAAGTACGCTTTGGAGCGCAAAACGTTCAACAAGCCGATTGCCGAGCACCAAGCAGTAGCTTTCATGCTGGCGGACATGGCGATTAGCATCGAGACGGCGAGACTTGCGTGGATGAAAGCTGCCTGGGCTCTCGACAACAACGACCCAGCTGGATCCATGTTGGCCAGCATTGCAAAGTGTTACGCTGCAGATATTGCGAATAAATGTGCCACCGATGCGGTTCAGGTGATTGAAACTTTTTTATTTATGATACATCTTGCCACGAATACATCAATTGCATTTTTTTATGATTTCCATTACAAGTATGTTGATTAACATGCAATACAAGAAAATATTAATTGTACCTTTGTTCCTAACTGTAGACATATGGAATTCCCTTCTCGTACACGTTAAAAAACGTTTCAATTTTCGATGATACGTATTTCGATAAGTAATTTTTTAATTCGCAAATACTATTGACTGATGATTAATTTTTTTTTTTTTCACTTTGACGGAGTACGTCCATTATTTTTATGTTGCTAAAAAAATACCGTGTAAATGTACTTGACTTATACATGATGGCGTTATTACCGTCATTAATATTTTTTATACTTTACCTTTTGTCTTAGCCAAGGATATTTCAATGAAATCGTAATTTTAATTTCGTTTGAAAAAACAAAGAATGATTGTAGTGATGGTTCATAAACCGTTTATTTTTAAGTCCCTCGGATGTTATTTGAATCATAACCACGTGATCTCAGCTTGAACTAATCACATAACGTATAAACGGCTTCATTTGAAACTACTTCTATTTGAAGGTAGGATACTTCCTAGTCATAAAATCTTTATTACAGATATTTGGTGGGGCTGGCTTTAATTCCGAATATCCAGTAGAAAAATTAATGAGGGATGCCAAAATCTACCAAATTTATGAAGGAACAGCGCAAATTCAAAGATTGATAATTTCCAGACACATTCTCTCCAAGTTCAAGCAAGCAGAAAAATAAATGTCTCTAATTCCGATGAACACGATATTATGAACTTTAGAGTTATTATATGTAGTAACGACAGTGCTCAAATATCTATTTTTTAATACGAGAAGTTCGTTAATATAAACATTTTGTATATTTTTTTTTTAATGCCACACATTTTTGATATACAAATTTTAAAGATATCTTGTTTACAAATATCTTACAATGTTGGAGGAATTTTATAACTATTTTATAATGTTAATGTTAAAAAACCGATTGTTTAATATTTTGTAACAGAATAAATAAATTTAAACAAATTTTAAGGGATTTATTTGAGAGCACCGGCTACAACTGTACCTACATTGTGTAAAAAAAAGTTACCTGTGAAAGAAACTGTAATTGACAATCTAGTATATACGATTTTTAAAAAAGTCTAAAATTTCAATTACCATAGTACATGCATAAGCCTGTCAAGAAAATTCGTTTATAATTTTTTATCAAAATGACAGGCTACATTTTTAAGCATCAATTCAGTGAAATATAAGTGTCGCACGGTATTGCATAGCACACGCAGCATATTTGGCCTGTTTTTCTTGCACATGTGTTAATAAGTCAAAAAATTATGTGATTTATTAGAAGCCGTAGAGTTTTTTAGTTCGTTAAAAACAGAGAAAGTCTCAATGTTGTTATTTGTTTGTCTAGTGTTTGTATTTGTCTTTAACGTTACTCGGAACTTCAACTCTGGACTTTCCTGTACGGACATCAAAAGTTCACCACAGTGCACGAGGATAAGGGTATGAGTAGAGCTTAATTATGTTGGATAGTCTACGATTTCCGAAATTCACCGTCTTACGTGGGTTTGCATTAAATTAAGGACCTAAACTGACTTCAAATCTTATTATTGGCAAAAAGACAACCGCAGAAAATGAAAGTTTTTACTTATTTTTCTTTTTTTTTCTAATGTTTAATTGTAAGAGATCAACCAAAGAAGTAAAAGTTTATTATTATATCATTATTTGTTTTACAAAACATTGCTTAGTGAAAAAACACAGTTTAGAAAGTGAAGTTACTTTCTGAAATGCTAATACGTTGTGAAAAAGTAACCTTCGAGTACACTTCAGGTTCTTTCTCTTTATGAAATAATTGTCATCCTTACATATTTATAAAACGCTAACATCGTTAAAAGAAATCACAAAAATTTTTATCAGAATTTAAAAAAATTCACAACTACTTTTATCTGTTCCTGAAACGTTGCTACATCGTTTCAAAATAATTACATATGAGTTAAGATGTCATCTCTAAAATAATGCTATAGCGTCATGAAAAAATAGTCATAGGTACTCCAGATTGCTTTTGTTTACTTCTAAAACGTTGCGAAATTAGTAAAAATCGATGCTTTGAGCTGATTACGAAGATTTCTAAAACGTTGCGACATTGTTAAAAAGCAACTACATAAGTAACAAAAAGTTACTTCCATTCATCCCAGGACGTTTTCTATGGTATGAAAAAGCAACTACAGATACATTTAGTTGCTTTTACAAATTATTATCTAATAGTTGATTAAAACGTTGACTTTAATTCGAAAAGTAACCGTTCTAACATTACATTTGAACAATTAACGTAATCACAACTCAAGATGCAACGCGAGAAAACGTAATGCATTACTTATACCTAGCGTATGACACGAGTTTCACGAATTCCTCGTAAATGTAATAACTTTCCCGGGCATGCATTAACATTGTTCCAATATAAGCTGAGTATTACGTATTGCTGTAAATACAACTCACATGAATATATTTAAAGCTATCATAAGTGCAAATGTATCACGTAAAGTCATAACACTATAATAAAAAAATTTATACATATATATATTCCCATACTATAACAATCTGTAGATGTAAGAATGAAGATGATAGGTATGTCACCCTCACGAAATAGCTATATTTTTACGATGCACACGTGTATGTACGTATGTGTATGGACAACAATCCGCGATTAGATTATTTTTGTAATGCCACTTTCCATGTCTACATCTTTTAATTTTTTTCATTCTTGTATTTTCTAGTAACTGGAAAACTACTTGAGAGTTATATATCTCCTCTTGATTTCTGTCTTTCTACATTTTTATTTCGTAATGTTTTTATTGTTTTCTTTGTCTTTACATTATTACTATTACTATGTATCGTTGTCCACACAGAGTTTGTACACTTTTGTCTCTCAGTCTCTACAGTCCTGCGACTTATTCAGTTCGGATGGACCCACCAAAGTTCATTCAATATATTTTGGCCTGCTGAATATGACTTTTGATGGTGTATTACTGTTCAACCGGTCAATTTTTTACTAACAAATTGTTTCAACAAGTAAAAAATATTCTTTTTTCTGATTCTGCTGCTAATTTTGGACAAAAAGTTTTATACATAGTAAAATCGCAAAATGGAAAATGGATTTTTTACGATTTTCGATGTCTCATTACAGAAAGCTGGTATTTTCATTATACATTTTTTAAGACTAATTTTTTTCTTGGTGTCCCTAATCCTCTGAGTTATTGACATTATACAGTGTTAGAATATAATTGTTTAATTTCCGTTGGTAAATAAACAGAATTTTTATTTAGTCACGCAAAAATTTTACGAATACACATACTTCACATAAAATGTTTTTTTCGAAATGAGCCAAAGAATCGGGACAATATTTGTGTGTCAAAAAAACAATATTTTTAATTTGCTAAAAAAATTTGGTGACTGCACAAAAAATTGGCCAGTTGGAAAGTGACCCACCATCGCAAATCGTGTTTAGCAGGCCATAATACAACATGTTGTATCATGACTTTTTATACCGGGAAAAAAAACACGCCACAATTACGCTGTCTTTCCGATAAGGCTTGGTGTTAATCTTTTGAAAAAAAAATTTTAGATCGACAATGTCTTAAAAACCACATGATCAATTTCATCCAAATAGAGCTTAATTGTTTGTTCACATACTTTCATGCTTGCAGCACTACTTTTAATTCAAGATACAACAACCTTACGTATAGTGGTCGAGACCGGACCACACCAGGATCATAAAATGCACGATATTCGCCAACAGGTTTCAGGAGTGGTATTCCGTAACTAGTTTGCTGTACATCAGCCTATGCTACAACATAAGCTCACACAGTGAAAAAAAGTTACGGAATACCACCCCAGGCTTAATCAGTGTAGAGACGAGTAAGTACGCGAAGCAGCGGCTGAAGATTGAGAAACATAGGCTCTCTAGTCTAGGTGCGGACTCTTCTGCGACGTGCGAGCAGTTCAATCTCGAGATGATATTTGTATATTCTCCAAATTCGGTGAGCACGTGCACGCCGAGGGCACCCCTTTCCTTGCCCGCCGCGAGCCGCAAAGCTTGGACAACACCAGCGTTCCGTCGCAGGCTCTGAATAGTGTAAGGCGCCTAATAAATATATACAGGTATACCTTACCGTACGCTTGCTTGGTTCGCGCTCCTCGATTGCGTTGGATAAAGCGTGAGACGAGAGAAAGACAGAAGATTAGAATTGAGAAGCGCACGCGCGTTCGCTATTACCATTATTACGAATATTACGATATCACGAATTACGAGAAGAGGCCGAAGAGCCGCTGCCCATGCCGTGGAACCGCAAGCATGTGCGTGCAAGTGAAGTGGCCTACAGACCTACATTTACATCTAACGTTCGATTTTTTCCTCGTCGCTCGACTCGCTTTCCGCTGCAGGTCTACCTCGCCCCCGACCGCCGGCGAGGCCAGAAAAGGGGGGTGCAAGAGGGGTCATCACTCTCTCTCTCTTTGTCGCGAGATACCGGCTCTTTGCTCTCTCCTCAGTGGATAACCACAACGGGCAAGAAGTGATCGAGAAAACGCCTTTAATACTTACCTAGTGAGGACAAGGTTATTGTTGTTGCTGCTTTTTTTTGTTTCCTATTCATGGCGCCCGCCCTTGTGCGTGCGAGTGTGTCGCGGTTCAACACAACTCGAGCCGGTGCTTCAAGTCTGTGCGCGTTCGACGAGAAAAAGCAACTACCTACTGCCTACTGGTGAATGACGTCTCATGTGTGCGCCGTGCACCTCGTATACGTGAGTTCGCGGGGCCTTGGCAGTTGACGACAGCAAAAAGTAGCAAGTAAAGTAAGTAACTATACGCTATAGCTGGTGCTTCTTCTTTGTGAGCATGTAGCCGATCTCATAACCAAAACACCGGAACATCGAGCTTGACATTCGCCTGATAAGACAGCAGTGACATTTGTTGAGAAGTTACTTACATCTACAGTCAAGCATCTGACGTAAATGCACGTACATGCGGACACAAACTGTATGTACAAGTACATGTGTATAGTGAAAACGAAAGTGACCAAGTAACGTAGTGACACGGCAGCCAGCCCGAACGTCTACGTATATGTGAGGGGAAGAGGCGCGACGACGCTCATTCCTTCATTTCCGCGATCAACTATATCATATACACATATGCGTATGTGTATGTGTTGTTCGTGCTGTGTGTTTAACGAAGGCGGTGCTCAACTCAATTTGCTCACGACTACATAGGTACAACGCAATCAAAGTAACAACAATATTATGAGTATCAAACCGCAGTTGGAGGCTCGAATTTTACATTCTGACGTTGGGCTCATGCATAAAACAATTTGTTGAACGTTCTTACACGATGCGATCAGCTTACGAGGAATGTGTATTGACTATCAGATGTTCCGTTCCTTTTCTATATTACTTACTCTTTCAAGTGCTTTTTTAATAGGCTTTACCAAAAAGTGCTATCAACTCTTGTTCCTCTATTTTTTATATTGACTGGCTTTACCACATAGTTGTGGATAATAGCAACTTGCCATATTTTAGTGCATAGAAAGAAGAGATCTGTTAATTTAGAATATTTTGAAGAAGAAATATATACGTTTATGTTTGTACACATCAAGAAAAAAACGAAGAGTATATTGTACGTATAATTGAAGCAAACAAAAAACAATGCGTGAGACGACAATGGAAAATTCCTCGGAAAATCGACTACCTCTAAGCAGTAGCACCGGCTCTGAAAACGAAGTCCTGGACGCTGAAAGCCCGGCAAGCAGCACAAGCAGTATCGCGGATGTTGAGATCAACAGCAAAACTACAGGGCAGCTGGCCGCTCCTATGCAACAGCCAAGCACTGACATGGAGTCGGAAGTGAGCACCGCTGGGGATGTCATTAGCTCAGGTAACCTTAAAAACAGCAAAACGCTCATTGCATCATTGTATGCCGCTTCCACCCCGCGTAGCAGCAACATAAGAGCGAAGCAATAGTTTA